ATCTCCTTGTTCCACCCTTTAGGGGGTGTTTGGTCAGAGAATTTGGAGGAGAGAAATGAAATCAATTCCATTTCTCTTGTTTGGTTTGTATTAAATATGGAGAGAAATAGAAAAAAATCAATTCCATTTCCATCAAAATAATTCTCTATAAATAATAGTAGAGAAAAGGTGAGAAAAAGAAAAGCCAACTCTCTGAGAAATAGAAAAAAAAAGGCGGAGAAATAAGAAGCCCCCGACTTCGAGCCCTACCAACTGCATCCCAAGTTCTGATTATGCTTCTAATAATCGTTATCCGGGTATCTCATGCGATCGTTTATTGAATCGGGCTAGTTCTTCTCTTCCGTTCCTACCTTACATACAGGTATCATACGCTTTGCCCTAACAAAATCTCGTTTTTTGTTTCTTCTTCTTGGTTGATTTTCAACAAATGTCCAATTTGAAGTATTAATCACTTTATTGAATCTCAATTTAAGTTCAATTCATGTTGTGCTTGCAATTCTTGATTTGCGAAATTGAATCAAGTATCTTTGCTTACGTTCATATTAATTCGATTTTAGTTTGCTGTGCGAAACTGGAGCCATTTTTTTTAGGAACTTCACATTAATTTGACTTTTCGTTTGGTCTTCTTCCTATCCATGAACAGATTACTCCCTGATTTTGAGAAGTTCAGGTTTCACTCCCAAAAGTTCATGGCTTAATTTGATTGGGAATTGCCTATTCTATTCACAGTTTAATGGTTTACTGGCAGCTTAAGTTTTTCAAGATAAGACTTTTTTACCCTTGGGTCTACATACTTCCTGTTGAGATTTTGCTTCAAAGGGAGGGATATTGCTTTTTGGGTGTTGTTTAATTCAGTTTTCACGCCATTCCTTGTACACCCTGGTAGTTTTTTATGCTTCTCATATTTAGGACATTTTTGCACCTGGTGTTGATTTGAAAATCCTGATAGTTTGGTTTGTTGCTGGTGTTGGTTTCGACAAAGTGTTCAAGACTTCCATACTTGTATCATCTATGTAATCCCTTTTCATTAGGTTTTCCTTTTTCTGTCTGCTTTCATGCGTTTCTGCTGATGTCGTTTTTTTCCTTTCGCTGTTTGCGTTTCAGTCAAACTTCTTCTTCTTCTCTTTTCTTTCGTTTTTTTGCTTCTTTGAATTTTTCATGCTGTTTCCTGTTTCCTATGGATTTCGAATTGTGTTGTTGTTGATTTTATTTATTCAATGGTGTAGTTTACCTTGAAATGTGAATTCATAACTGATTTTGAATGAAATACCTTTGAATGTGTAGTTTACCTTTGAATGTGAAATCTGATTTTGAATGTGCAGTGTTTGTGCTTCAACTGTCAAGCTTATATGATACCTTGAATGCAATTTAAGTTATGGACACGAACAATGTTAATCTTGTTGATTGTGAAACATCTAAAAAATAAGCTTAAGCCTAATATAAAAGAAAGCCCTTTTTGGTAATTTTGCACATATAAGATGTTCTTTTTGCCAAACACTAAAAATGACTTATCATGAACATTTGTTGTTAAGGATGAATGCGCATGAATATAAAACATTATCTAAATAATTATTGAAGTTAATAAATTGTGATGTTGTAAATGCAAGTATTTTTCAAAAAGATTATTATTATTAATGATTGAAGATAAAGTATTATATGTAAAATAAAAAATAATCCACAACATATAAGCATATCCTTTTTGGTCATTTTACATATACAAGGAGTTTATGCCCCACTGACCTATTCCAACAATTATGAGTTTTCTATTTGATCAACTATGTTGCTTTCATTTTTGTAGGCAAATCAAACGAGTGATTGTTTGTGCTTCTTTTATTGGATTTCAAAATGGATTCTGCAATTTCATTGGAGGAATCTATACCAGAAAGCATCCTTCAACCTTTCTTTTCTGCTACAAATTCATCAACACTAAATAAAGCTTTGGAGAATCTAATAGAACTGGCTAGGACAACAGATGGTCGATCTGATCTTGCTTCCAAGAATATGCTCAACCCAACCCTTCAACTCTGTAAATTACTATCATACCCTTCTTCAGGCGACACACTTTTATTGGCACTTAAACTCATCAGAAACCAGTGTGCTGGAGAATTGCGAAATCAGAATTCATTTATCAAACAAAATGGAGTTGATATTGTTTCGAATATAATCAGTTCTAAAGAAATTGTTAACGATTCAAATCATGGGCTTATTCGAATGGGATTACAAGTTCTAGCAAATGTTTCATTGGCTGGAGAGGAACATCAACTTGTTATATGGAATCATATTTATACTTTGAAGTTTCTTGAGATTGCAAAGATTAGAAGAAAAGAAACCTGTGACCCTTTGTGTATGATCATATATGCTTGTGTTGAAGAGAACCATGAACTGCTTGACAAGTTGTGTTCGGATCGTGTTTTGCCTCTTCTTGTTGAAATTATAAGAACTGCATCTGAAGGTATGTTTCTTGATTCTTATTCCTTTGAATTTGTTTTAGTTTTCTTATTTTCTTGAGTTTGACTTTTAACTTGTTTTATTTTTATGTGCACTAGTGGGGTTTGGAGAAGATTGGGTGAAGCTAATTCTTTCAAGAACATGCATTGAAGAATCTTACTTCACATCCATCTTCTCAAACTTACAATATCCTCATCCTTCTATTGAAACTACAAATACCTTCACACAAGAGCAATCCTTTTTGTTAAGCATCCTATCCGAAATGATAAACGAGCAACTCGAGCATATTACATTATCCAAGCTTTTCGCTTTGGATATTTTCAAGATCCTAAAAACCAGTTTAGGTGTTGTTGATTATGCTTCACGCCCAAAATCCGGTCTCCCAACCGGCTCAAATGACATTGATGCCCTCGGATACTCTCTATGCATATTGAGAGACATTTGTGCGTTTGATCCTCTCAACAAAGAGGGTCATGTAGATATGGTCGATCCGTTACTTTCATTAGGGTTTATCGAAATGTTTCTTGATTTGCTTCGTGAACTTGAAGCTCCTTCAATAATAAGAAAAACAATGAAACATGATGAGAATGAAGAAACGAAAACGCATTCGGGTAAACTATGCCCTTATAAGGGATTTCGTAGTGATATTGTTGCGGTTATTGGGAATTGTGCGTATGGGAGGAAGCGTGTTCAAAATGAGGTGAGGGAGAAGAATGGGATACTTTTGATGTTGCAGCATTGTGTCACGGATGATGAAAACCCGTTTTTGAGGGAGTGGGTTGGAAGGGAATGTAGAGAATCAAAGGGTGGTTAGTGAGTTGGAAATCCAAGGGTCGGTTAACTTACCGGAGTTGTCTAATCTTGGGTTGCGGGTCGATGTCGATCAACTGACTCGACGTGCAAAGCTTGTAAACATGGCTTGAAGGTCCTCTTACACAACACTATATGTGTCTTTTTAAACCGGATAAAACATGACATGTGTCTTTTTAAACTGATTTTTTTTTGGAACGTCAAATCTAATCTACTCCTACACTACTCCTAATTCTCCACTTATGTCCCTCACGGGACTTGAACCCTCGACCTCAAGGAGGGAGGACAATATCGGATACCGTTGGGCCAGAAGCCCTTTGGTTTTAAACTGGAGTGTTTATGTTTGTTGACTATTTTCCTAGTGATATCTTCACATTTTTTTATAATTATTAATGCAATTGAGAAGAATTATATTGACATACTAAATTTGAGGTTCGATTAGTTTATTCAAATATTAAACACAAGACACAACATATGTATTTTGTTACGTAGAAGTGGTAGAACTAGTGTTCAAACTTTTTATTACCCTTCTAAACAAACAACTAAAATAGTGCTCTCAATAAATAAAAACTCATTATTAATGCTCACATAATATAAGCTATACAATTACCAAAATGTGACGTATAACTCATTTTAGTGTTTAAATAGGAGATTTGAATGTAAATGGTATGTAGCTTGATGGTTTGAGAGTGACTTTGTGACCGTGTTTCGCATCCCCTCCATTCCATCTTTTTTTTTCGTGGGTAAATAAACTGTTCTGGAATAACCCACTAAGGCACTACTCAGGGATGCGACCATGTACCCCTTCAGCTTTCGGTTTTTACAACTTTGGGCCATCTTGCAAATTATTTTTACAAATTGGCACCAACGCTTTTTTATAACTCTCTTAGATTTTTATTTATTTATTTATTTATTTATATACAATTTTAGTCCAACTTTCAAGTGGTATAAATCCGAATATATTATTCAAACATGACATATTTTCGGTTTGAAAACCCATTTTCTTTTATATTTATGTAAATTATGTTTTTTTTCCCTTTATGTCGTTATAAATTACGTTTTCATATTTTACGTAATACTCACTATGATATGCATCAACTATATTCGACACTGTTGGCTAACCTCCCAGACAATAAAAAGGCAAAACTAGTTTGCTTGATAATCTTCACTTTGCTTTGTATGTCGAATGCAAGGAACAAGTTGATCTTTCAGGGAGTCCTCAAACCGGTTCCAAAACATATCGATGATGTCCAAGTGTATTCTTTTCTTTTGGCAAAAAAAAGTATAAAAATAGTAAAACAAGTTTTGACATTAGACATGCTTTTTTCATTAATTAAAATATCATCTTAACGTTGATGCTATCTCGCTTCCATGTAAATCTTCTAGCATCTAGTTAGATTTTATATATAAACATGTTCTAAAAGACATTAAGATGGTAATATATACCTAGACAATCATCTTTCGATTACGATATGGATATGGAAAACTGACAAATACATTTCACCTTTCAACATTAAATAACTAATACAAGTTCGATGATAAGTAATTGAGTTGATTTTTAGGTAGTTAACTTAGCATCCTAAAGCTTCCTCATCAATAAGACAATAACTCATGGTTTTGCAAATTAGTATTATGCAATGTTTAGTTTTTTAGTTAAAATTCCGGCTTTAAAGATAACATTTAGATAATATATATTGTGAAAGGCTGAAATACTTCATAGGCCCATAAGGTGATACTGATTAATGTGTGCCCAACCCATTAAGATTTACAAAGCCCACAAACCTTTCAAGATTCCAATTCCCCCTACCTTGCGTCTTTCTTCCCTTCCGCTGCAACCAATGTGCAGACACATCTTCGCCCTCAAATGGATTGGTAACTCGAACTTAATCGTTACATGGATGATGATACGATCAACATGCATCCTCCAACAACAAGCTCCAGATCACTTCATCAACAAATTCAAATATTTCTCTTCATTTCTCCTCCATTACTCTGTGCCTCCTTCTTCACCCATTGAAGAAACGGGAGAAGATTCCGCATCTCATTTACTCTCTCTCCTCTCGCTACCCAATTGGCAGAAAAACCCACGTCTCAAAACCCTAATCCCATCGATTTCCCCATCACATATCACCTCTCTTTTCAACGATAACCCTAACTTGAAGCCACAAACAGCTCTTTCATTTTTCAATATCTTGTCACAGAGATCTAATTTTAGACCTAGTGTTGAGTCTTTTGCATCACTGCTTACGATACTGATCAAGAATCGATTTTTAAATGTGGCTGAAAAGATCCGGATTTCGATGGTGAAGGCTTGCGAAACGGACGACGATGCGAGGTTTGTTTTGGGGTTTCTGAGAAAAATGAATGCTGATGACGATGAAGATTTTGAATGCAAATTTAAACTCAGTATTAGATGTTATAATACATTGTTAATGTGTTTATCAAGGTTTTCGATGATTGACGATATGAAATATGTGTTTCTAGAGATGTTAGATGATAAAATCATGCCGAATATATACACTTATAACTCCATGGTGAACGGATACTGTAAATTGGGGAAAGTTGATGCAGCTGGCCTGTATGTTACCAAGATTGCTCAAGCGGGGCTTAGTCCTGATACTCATACTTATACATCCTTGATTCTAGGCCATTGCAGGAATAAAGATGTCGATAGAGCACACAAGGTGTTTGATGTAATGCCTAAGAAAGGGTGTTGCAGAAACGAGGTTTCTTATACCAATTTAATTCATGGGTTTTGTGAAGAAAGTCGTATTGACGAAGCTCTGAAGTTATTTCACCAAATGGGAGATGATAATTGCTTCCCTACAGTCCGTACATTTACTGTTTTGATTTCTGCATTAAGTAAGTCAGGTAGAACAGCAGAAGCATGGGCTTTATATAGCAAAATGAGTGAGAAAAGTTGTGAGCCGAATGCCCATACTTACACTGTTCTCATAGATGCAATGTGTAAAGAGAAAAAGTTGAATAATGCACGACAGTTATTATATGTAATGGAAGCTAAAGGAGTGGAGGGTACTGTTGTGACATATAATGCTTTGATTGATGGATTTTGTAAGGAAGGAAAGGTCGAGAGTGCATTTGAGATGCTTAAAAGAATGGAAAAGAAAAGGTTAAAACCAAATGTCCGCACATACAACGGGTTGATTGGTGGGTATTGTAAAGGTGATAACATTCACAAGGCAATGGCATTGCTTGATAAGATGATGAAGATGAAACTTTCACCTACTATTATCACCTACAACTTGCTAATCAATGGACAATGTAAGCATAATCATGTTGATAGTGCCTATCGGTTGATTGGTTTGATGAAAGACAATGGTGTTCTTCCTGATGAATGGACCTACAGTGCTCTAATAGAGGCTTTATGTAAACGAGGAAGTGTTGAAGAAGCTCATTTGTTGCTTAAAGAAAAGGGGATAAAAGTAAATGAAGTTACCTACACGACTCTTATAAACGGGTATTTCCAAACTGGGAAGGCGGATCTTAGCATGGGTTTGTTTAAAGAAATGTTGACCAATGATTTCTCACCGAATTCTTGGACGTATAATGTGCTGATTCATGGGTTATGTAAAGAAGATAAGATTCAAGAAGCGTTAATGTTAATCGGGAAGATGATCAAGATAGGTTTTGAAGTGGAAATCACTACTTACACAATCTTTATCGAACATTTGTTAAAAAGTTTCGATTTTTTTGAAGCACATAAGCTGTTCAACCAATTGGGTGCATCTGGATTGAAGCCCGATGTTTGTACATACACTTCTTTTATACTTGCATACTGCACTCAAGGAATGATAAAAGAAGCAGAAGATATGATGAATGAAATGATTCAAAAAGGTGTCAAACCAGACACCGCCACGTATACGGTTTTCATCGACGCGTATTGCCACGTAGGACAGATAAACCGTGGTTTTGATTTCTTAAAACGTATGATGGATGCTGGATGTGAGCCTTCACAACATACATACGCAATAATCTTGAAGCATCTTTTGAGGAAAAACTACAAGTCAAACACCGGAATCGACAATGCCATTCCGGTGAACACCGTGTGGAAGATAATGGAATTCGATGATGCAATCGAGCTGTTTTCGGAAATGGTCAAACGGGGTTGTGAATTAAAAGTCAACACGTTCGATGCGTTGACCAAGGGGTTGTGTAAAGAAAGGCGGTTTGAAGTTGGTGAATCATATGTTAACAAACGGGATTTCTCCAAATGAAAGTATATACACGTCTTTGGTGAATTGTTCGTGTTACTTGAAAATGTTTGATAAAGCATTGAGTTTAGTAAACAACATGGTTGAAAATGGGGTTTTGGTAGATTTAGAGACGTATAAGTTGCTTATTTGTGGGTTATATGAGGAAGGAAAGCATGAAAAGGGTAAGGAAGTGTTTTGTAGTTTGCTTGATGGGTATAATTCGGATGAAGTTGTTTGGACTATTCTTCTTGATGGGTTACTTAAACGAGGTTTGGTTAAAAGGTATTTTGAGCTTGTGGGTGTTATGGAGGAGAAAGGTTGTCATCTTAATCGATATACTTATCAAATGTTAGTTGACCAAATGGGTGTTTAAATAAGTTAGATATAAATACTTACAATAAGATCATCATATTGGGATCTTTGGGAAGAAAATATGATCTAGAGTTCTTTTTTGTAAGAAGAAATGGAGTGGGACTGGGACCCACACAATGGAGATTGAAGGTTCGTGGTTTATCCGATCATTCTTTAAAGCTTGTCCATTTTCAGGTAACAAGTTGTTTGTTAACTTTTGTTCTAATGTGTTGTAAAAAAAAGAATGAAGAACTCTTTTTATGTTAAAAGAGTGGTTATTTATGTAGCAAAGTTGTTATTTTTATTGCAGATGAAGGTAAATCGGTGAACATGGGAAACTGGGTTTCTTTGTTCCAATATTGACAAAGATTTTTGAGGTTAGAGTTTGTTAGTTAGATGCGGCTGGCTATACATAATTTTGTGAATTGAAATGGGTATCATTTTAACACTTAATCTGATTGTAGATTACTAGATTTGCTTTGTCTTTTATGAAAATAATTTTATATAAGATGTATAAAAAAATTTAACACAAATCGTAGTATTTTTCCAGTAAGTAGATTGGAAATAGATCTCTTGCATTTGTAGTGCAATTCTACCAGATTGCTGCATGAATTTCGTTATTTTGATGATAATTGGATTGAAATGATTTGATTGATGTTATGAGGAAACAAAGTTGTTACTGATATATGTTATGAATTACAAAACAATAAAAACTTTGCGCCTTAAACTGGTACTTAGCCGAATTTTCCATTATTTTGTTTCAACATAAATAGATACAGCGATTTTTTATGTTTTTTTTTTTTTTTGTTTTTTATATATATATATATATATATATATATATATATATATATATATATATATATATGTTTTAATTATCTATTAATTATATTTAAAGTTATATATTAAATCAAAACGTCATTGAGGAGGAAGCCAAATGGCAAAATTAATTCTTTTAATATAAACATTAAACAATATTGTAATTTTATTCTTTTTACAAAATTAAAACGTTCTTTGTCATTAATATATAAGGTGAAAAACATAGTGCATATTGCACACTCATGAGAAAACACTTGTAAATGTTTTCTAATATACATATTCTTTTCGGTTAATTGCACATTTTGATAAAAGATTTGTCATGATAATAAATACCTAAATTCACATTACATAATCACAACTTATTTTTTTCGTTATAGTACAAGATCCAAAATACATGGTGCATACCCAGATTTAGAAAAAAAAATTATAATATCTTTTCAATATGATTTTTGCTTTGGGTGATTATAAGACATTTTGATAAAAGATCTGTTATGATAATACATGATTTAAATTCACCTCTCGAATACACTTACTCTTTATAGAGTATAATATCGAATCATAAGAGGAAAAAATCGTCATTTTCATATTTATACATATACCGATGTCAAATATTGCAACAACATTCTAAAACACTAGAATTTGTCCTTTTAACAACACAAACCTTTGATAAAAAAAAGAGGGGAGGGATTCAAGAACCCTAATCTTTACAACATGAATCAAATAGTCAAATTCTCTTGAATCCCAAGGAAGGACCCAATGATTTGACCTCCTACATCCGGAAAGTTCTCGAATCCAGGAAGAGATTTGACTTTGCCACTTCGAACAACCTCCACAGGATACTTCATAAGATGACCATTTATTTCACATATCTCATTTCCTGCAAACTGTTTCCAGTTGGCCTCAGCCATTGATCTAACCTGTCTTACACATTCAATTGACTCCGGTATTTCAAAACACTCGCGAACCGTGCCAAGATGTTCCGCCCATAGTGACATTCTATATCCATGAACCTTCAAAATCCATTAAACTCTAAAATATCAGTATATCAGTCTCAGTCCAATACACTCCAACCTATCATGTGAGTCCTAGTTCAATGCATGTCAAACGCAATACAAACTATCATGTCATATCATATCACTTTCAGCATGTCAAACACAATACAATTTGTCATGTCAGTTTCAGTCCCAAACACAAACACAAACACAGTACAACTGTCATGTCATGTTTTACCTGTCCACGTGGATCCGTGAGGTTTTTAGCCCAAGTATGATGAGGTTGATAAGCTCCCATTGCAATTTCAGTGTCTCGAGTTCCCTCCATAGAGCGTTGATTTATGTTTGCGGAGCCTATAAGCACAAACTCATCATCCACTATCATTCCTTTCGAATGAACATAGATCATGAACCTCCGGCCCTTTCGGGCAAGTCCCTAAAAATAAAAAATAACTTTCCATAAACAGAAACATCCTTATTTTTCTCAAAAAATGAATGTTAACCTGAGGAGTATTATCAGGAGAATGGCTATGTGAACTATCAGTCGGGCTCAGGGCTTCACGGTTTCCAAGACAAAAGAAATTTAAATAATCTTGTGGTGAAAACGCCTCTTCAAGACCAACCTCCACCAAAGCCTTGTAGATAATTTGATACATCATTTGCATTGTTTTATTCTGCAAATTAATTTACTTACTTTACATTTTACTTTGAAAAATATAGCAGTGAACAAATATTGCGTTACCTGCCAAAATAAAATCCTTTGAGTTGCGGACCCCGTGGGGACACCCTCTGGCCACATGGGGATCACAATATACACAGCAAATCTTTCTTGTGCTCTGATTTTACTAGCAACCTTAAGTGCAATCTCCATTGGAATCAAATTATTGGCACCTAATCATATATAATCAAATACTCCATTAAAGTTCATATTTATTATCAATATCAGTTTAGAAAGACAATGTTCCTTACCCAACTCTCTGTAAGACTTCCAATTGTATGAAGATCCAATAAAATATTGATTTTCAATATAGATGAAATGTTGTGCAGAACGAATGGCTTTTATGTATGCAGAATGTATGCTCATATCAATCATCACATTCTTTCCACAAACCAAATTCTGTTCAAATAAGTTTATTTATTAATCATCATCGATAAAAAATAATCCATTTAACAAAATGTTTGTTCAAATCTCATCACCTTGGCTGTAGCTACATGTGGATCCTTTGGGAATCCTTTAACAGAGTTTGAATCAATCGAACGGAAAATCTGCATCAATCAAAATAAAAATTCTGTCTTTTTCGTTTTTCTTGTTTACATGTCAAAAAACTATCTTTTGTTAGGACCATTTTCATAGTAACTTTTTTGTCAAAAAATTCTTGTTCTTTTTAGCAAATTTTCAAGAAAGATGGTTTTTTGGTAATGATTACCTGTACATGCCACCCTTCAGGGTCTTCATCACTAAGGCAAGGTTCATCATTTGCACCCAAAATTTCAGGAAACTTTTCCAACTTCAACAAAGCATCAGATGTAGCCTTAAGTTTTTTAATACCTCTAGGCTTTGAAGCCTTTATCCATCTTTCCTCAAAGTTTGTCATAATGTCATACGCTGCGGGCCCATCAATTTTACTATGCAAATCATGCCATGGTTCTCTTGGACAACCAGTAACACTACCCTGTCATTATTATTTATTTTTACTTGGATTTTGGTTTTAAAACATGTGTCATTGAATGTAATTAATTGAATTTGAAATATTTACTGTGAAAGTTGGATTATGATAGTCATCTGCATGAAGAGTTGTTAAAGTCCTGAAAATGGGATGTTGTGGAGTATCATATCGCCCATTACAAAGGTCAAGTCCTCCAATAAAAGATATAATTCTTCTTTTACCATTTCCAGCATCCGTATCTACAATCACGGTTTTCTGATGATGTGTATATATCGTTCCAACTTTCTAAAAAAAAAAAAAAAACCTTTTAGTATCTTTTATCAAATTCAAAACCTTGATTTAAAAAAAAAAAAAATAACCTTCTTCTTCATCCAGCCATGCTTTTTTCCAGCCATTCGAGGACAAAGCAAGACTTGCACTGAAGAATGTTTGAAAAATCGCCTTGTTTCTTCATCATGTGTAGCCATTAATCCATCCTACACATACTAAAAGTCATATACCAATTTCCTCAATCCATTTCAAGTGAATAATAACTTACTGTTTGGTAGCCCATAATGTTTCTTGAAGTAGGGTCATCCCAAACAAGAAGCAAAACCCTAACACCTTCTTGTGCTTTTGCTTTCAAAAGATCTCCTAAACGAGTCGGTGGTGATTCCTCCTCTTCTTCACGCACTAATCTCACTTTATGCCACACAGACCAACCCGTTATGTAAACAAGACGTTGTGCATTAGTAATTGCATCAAATATATCCATCCAACAAGTCCCATGAACATAATCCACATCCTCACTTAGCTTAATATCTGGGAGGCTTGTATTTGGGACATGTGCATCTTGATACAGAGTAACCCTCCCTCCTCTCCTTAAAGGAAAATAAGTCCCCGGAACACCCATATATTGAGGTCCCACTCCAACTCCAAAGTTGTAAAAAGACAATCTTGCCATTGGGAAATATTGCATTGTGAGTGCTAAACCAGCTCCATTCTTACAAGGTCTTCCGTTTGCATTAATTAAAGGGAAAAAACCTTCAATTTTTGATCCCGAATATATATGTTCAACAGCTATTGCAACAGCTCCTATAAGTTGTGACCCCATAACATCCTTATCTTTCACAAGGAAATGGATTTCAGCAGTGTGATGTGCAACAGGGACATTAAATCTTTGATTCCAAATCGGGTTTTCAACGTTTGTAAGAACATATGTTCTTCCAACAACTGCACTTGTTATAGCAATCGAGACATAAGGGTCACTCGTTCCCATTGTTTTATGAAACACATCCATGTTTGGAAGGTTTTTCGCCTCGTGGACAAGAATATCAAGGTTTCCATGTAGGAGAAGGACTTTTAGAGCCTTTTTAGGAGTTGCAGCAAAGGGGACGATTTGGTAATTTTGATTGCTTGCTAAATCTAGTGAAGCCGTTTGTTGTATAGCAAGACATTGGGAGGAGGAGGAATCTAGGGACCCACTGAGATTTGGGGCTCCAGCACTTGGATAAGAAGCACTGTGATGATGCCCCGGGTGGTTTAAAGCTGCTTCATTCTCATATGGATTTTGATTTATCAAGTTGTTGTCATCTTCATGAGGGTGGTTAGTGGCGGCAGTAGACCCACTGCCACCACTTTCTTGGCTGTTTAGTTGAGTTTCCAGTGTTGGGAAGGGATATGGGTATCCCGGGTACTGATATGGATAGGGTTGAGGAGGGTATACTGGTGGTGGTGCTCCGACAGGTGGTGGTGGTTGTGATTGGTATGGATATGGGTAAGGGTATGGGGGATATGGAGCTGAATTTTGTGGTGGATATGGAGGTTGATTGAAAGTGGATGGAAATGGGGCAAAATTAGGGTCATACAAATACTGGTTGTTATTGTTTTCCATTCAATAACGCATACACAAACATTCGATTAGGGTTCTTCACTTCATCATGTGTTATTGCAATCGTAAGAGATCACAATAACGAACGGGATTTCGAATTGAAGGTTCATCTGCATCTGTAATCATGTTCAATCTTCAAAGCTACCCACAGATTGAAAAAATATGAGTTTCAGAATTGGGATTTCTACATGTGATAAGGTAAATAAAAACGATAGAATCTAATAAATTTTGAGAAATTCAAAAGACGCATACAAAAAAGAACAGAGATATACCTGTAATTTCGAAGATCTTGATGGGGACGATAACAGATTGGAAGAAAAACATGGGGGAAGGAAAGTTGGGGAAAAAAAGAGGACCAAGGTGAAAATAACTACGATTATAACGCAAAATCTTCACCATTTTTGTTAGAAATTTTGTTTTTTGTGTAGGGTATACGTGGAGACATGTAGCTAACCTGTGGAAATTGCGTTGGTTTCGCGCAATTGTTTCAAGAATTTGAAATTATGAGGGAAGATCCTAATCCATCAATATTCCAAGACCCAAAGTCCTAACTCCTAACGGTATTTCAAATGTTTGAATATCTTTACCACCTTATAATAAAAAAGAAAAATGACAAAAAAAAATTATTTTGTTCAAAAGTATTATCATTTCAAGGTATTTTTTTTTATTTCGTAAAAAAATATCATTTGATTTTTTTTGCTTGTTTATTATACCATTTAACATTTTAAAATATTCAAAAAGCATCATTTACCAAATTTATTTGTATTTTTTTTCCTACCAACTTCATGATCACTTATGATTTGAACACTTATCATATTTAATATAATTAATAAATTTTTATTATACTTGTCATCATTTAAAAATGATAAGATAGATAAAAAGAATAAGTAAGATGATATTTAATTTCTCATATAATTAAATGTATATACTCACGTTGTAATTACGTAACATGAGAACGTCTTAAAATGGGTAATAACTTTTTTGTTTTAAAAACAAAATTACTCTGTGTCTCTTGCATTCATGAAACATGAACATGACTAAAATAAGAAAACATATACTTACAACATGCATAAAACACGAACATTGCTAAAATAAAGAAATAAAGCATATATTTAAACTTCAAAACATATACATAGAACACAAACTCAAAATACAAGCATGTATTATGGATTCTTTCAAGAAATGCGAACTTATTCTCTATCCTTGCATCAAGAATATTCACCATCTTCAACGAGGCACTTAGGTGTCGCACATATCTTTCTAATAAGTCACTTAGGGGTCGTTTGTTTTGCATTTATCCGGACCGGTCAGAGCTGACTGCTGACTCGGTCAACAGTCAGGCTGTTTGATAGGCCTCAAAAACTGTTGACTCGGTCAACAATAACTGACCAATGGGCTGACTCGGTCCCCACAAAAACAATGTTGACCGAAAAAAAACCCCATCGTCCCATTTGTGCCCCTGCGCCCTAAAAGAAATCATGCATCGCATCTTCTTCCCTTCCTTCGATATTCAACGCAACTTAAAACAGACTCCTCAGGCGACTTCCTCCCACTTCGACGCTTTCTCAGCAAGTTTCGACGACTCCTTCAATTTTGAAATCGTCATCTGCAACATCATCGACAGCAACAGGTTAGTCTTCGGGTTTTTCTTCTTTTTTTTTTATCTCGAGGCCATATGAAATCATCGCATCTTTTTTTATGATGTATGAAATCAGTTTTCCAATCAAATTGTCTACACGAAATATGACCATGTGTGTACGAAATCAGTAATTTGTATGTGATTTGTTTGTATGTCAGTTTTATATGAAGCTGAAATTAGTTTGTATGTGACAAATTATAAGGTTATGAAATCAGTTTTATCAAATCAGAATATGTTTCTATGAAAGTTTAAGGGAAAACTGCAAAAAAATCCTTACATATTGACCTCATAATTGATTTAGTATTTATATATATTTTTATTCAATTAAGTCCTAAAACCCGGTAATCGTATTTAATTTAACCCTTTTACACTGTCAACAGGTTATCTAATTTTTAAAAATTCCACTTTTGGCCCAGATTTCAAATCTTATTACAAATTAGGTCCAAAATTTATACTTTTGGCACAAATTTTAAATTTTATTACAAATTTGGTAAAAAAATTTACTCTTTTGGCCTAGATTTCATAATTTTGTTATGAATTCATTCTAACTTTAGTTTTTTTACACCTTTTTTTGTCAAAAAAAATTTCGAATATGTTTTTTGTTTAAAAAAATAATATTTATACAAAAAAAAACATATTTTCACATAAAAAATATTATAATTTCTATATAATTTTTTTAAAAAAAAAAACTTTTTTTGTATATGAAATACCTATTTTTAAAAATTGGTATTTATTAATTACATAAATATATACAAATTGGTTTTTATAAAAAAAATGTATGCGAACACATATTTTACAAAAAAAATCTATACAAACACCTATTTTATTATAAATATATTTGTATACAAACAAATATTTAGAAAAAATATATACAAACGCCTATTTCATAGTAAACATGTGTGTGTGTGTGTGTGTGTGTGTGTTGTGTGTATATATATATATATATATATATATATATATACTATATATATATTATATATATATATATATATATATATAGTAGCCTTTTACCCGCGCCAAACGAAGGGTGCGAATAGTTTCTTTCAGTATTATTTCTATTCGGTAACATGTATGATTGGGCACCCAACTTTGACACGAAGGTAATGAAAGGTAAACCCCTAACAGTGAAATATAATTTGTTTGGGAATATGGTAACTTATAATTTGGAAATTAATCCATTTTGATATATTATTTTGGGTTTAAAACAAAAATATAAAGTTGTGTGGGTTGAAACAAAAAAGTTGTATGTCATTAAATTTTGTTTTTTAATTTAAAGACACATATTTTTTATCAGTGATCAAAAATCCTTTTGAATTTTGAATATGAGTTATTATTTTATGGTATTAATTCTTATATAACTATTATTTAGAGTATACATTTAAAAGAAGAATTTAATTGTCGATAATTTACTTCTCAAATGATGATTTTTATCAAAAATATGTTTGTATATATATATATATATATATATATATATATATATATATATATATATATATATATATATATTTATAAAACATGTTTGTATACATTTATTTATAAAAACGTGTTTGAATATATTTTTATAAAATACGTGTTTGTATACATTTTATATATAAACGTGTTTGACTACAAATGTGTTTTTTATAAAATAGGTGTTTATAAAAAATATATAAATATGTTTTTACAAAAGAGAATATAAGATTTTTTATGTGAAAATATGTTTTTTTTGTAAATATGATTTTATAAAGAAAAAATATATTCAAAAATTTTATTTGAGAAAAACGTTGTAAAAAAAACTAAAGTTACGATGAATTCATAACAAAATTTTGAAATTTGGGCCAAAAGGGTAAATTTTGGATCAAAATTGTAATAAAATTTAAAATTTGGGCCAAAAGTGTAAATTTTGGACCAAATTTGTAAAATTTTGAATTCTGGGCCAAAAGTGTAATTTTTAAAAGTTGGATGACCTGTTGACCGGGTAAAAGGGTCAAATTGAATACGATTACCGGTTTTTGGGACTTAGTTGAAAAAAAAATTAAGGACTAAATCGATTAAGTGACCAATATGTAAAGACTTTTTGTAGTTTTCCCAAAGTTTAAATATGAAATTTGTTTGTATGAAAGTCGAAATCTGAATATATATGAAAGCTGAAATCTGAAACTTGTTAAAAATATGAATCTTTTGTATGAAAGCTTAAATGTGAAGTTGTATGCTCTTGATTTATGTTGTAAGCATTGTTATGAAATCTGAATTTGTTGAAATGTTTTATGATCTTGGTATGAAATCAGATTCTATTTGTGAGTGTAGTTAAAAAAATGATGAAATCAGATTTATGCTATGTGTGTTAAATTTTTTTTAATAGACATGACAAGATAAAAGAACTGGAATTAGTTGGAAGTTGGGGAGTGTGGACAAAATTTTTTTGGAGTCATGTATACACGAATAAACCACTAATGGCCGGGAGGATGGTGGCCGAAAAGGAAGCCCGTGGTGGATTGTAGTCGCAGTCTCGCAGAGAAATTAAAAAATGAGCATAATTTTGTTGTCGATAGAAAACAAATGAAAAACCGATACGACTACTTAAAAGCAAAGTATTCAGTGTGATTGAAACTGAAAAATAAAACTAGAAATCTTTATAATCCTTTAACGAACTCTTTCAACATGACTGATGAAGAATGGGAAGCGGAGGCCAAGGTATATATATATATATATAT